CTTTTGGAGAAGTCTTTGGAAGCACATAAACATTTAATTTTTAGAAGGTCCCAATCATCTGGTTTCTCTTCTGCTGTTGGTGCATTTTGAATTATGCTTGATAGTCTATTTATGCCATGTATTAGGGCCCCTAATTTGACCCTAAATTTTCCTTGAGGAACTGTATAGTTTTAGGTTTCACATTTAAGTCTTTGATCCATCTGGAGTCTGTTTTTGTGTATGGTGTGAGGTACGTATCTTGTTTCATTTTCCTGCAAATGGATCTCCAGTTTTGCCAGCACCATTTATTAAACAAACATTCTCTTCCCCATTTAATGGATTTTGGGCTTTGTCAAAGATCAGCTGACCATAGGTTGATGGATCTATTTCTGGGTTCTCATTTCCTCATTTCTATTCCATTGGTCTGTGTATCTGTCATTGAACCAATACCAGGCAGTTTTAACTACTGTGGCTGTATTGTAGGTTTTGAGATCTGGCAAAGTGAAACCTCCTACTTTGTTTTTCTTCTTCAATAGTGCTTTGCTTATCCAAGGTCTCTTTCCTGAAAGAATTTTTTATAACTACATTCATAATGGATATTGGTTGGTATTTCTTTTCCTTTTCAGGTTCTGCTGGTCTTGTAGAATAAAATAGAAAGTATGTACAACATAATATTCAGACAACTTTTGATTATTTATATATCTATGGGCCTGTAATTTTTTTTTTTTTTTTTTCCCCTTCGGCAACTGAAATGGATTTATTGGGAACACGGGGCATGCAGAGCTGGTTAGCTGGCTGGAGGGTGGGTGGGCAGAATTCCTTCCTTCTGGAGCCTTAACATAGGTTAGTATTTCTCGCTGGCCCCACCTAGCTACTCTGCCTACTCCTGATAGCTGATGCTCTGGTCAGAGGCCTTGGTGGTATAGGGCTTCTTGGCAGCATGGGTCTGCAGGTGCTGAAAGAAGTGGAAGCAGCTGCAGAAGGCCTTGTCACACTCATGGCCCACATAGGGCTGTTGCCTGTGTGGATGCACTGGTGCTGCATGAGCATTGAACTGCAGATGAAGACCTTGCAAACTGGTTGCAGGTGTACAGCCTTTGTGCGGCCTCTGGTACCATACCAGGTTGGGGTTCTGACTGAAGGCCTGGCTTCATTTTCCATACTGGTAAGGCTTCTTCCTGTTGAGGTTGTGCTGGTGCTGCTGTATGAAGTGCCAGCTGTAGCTGAAGGCCTTGCTGGCCACAGTCACACAGCTTATTCACATGGATGCAGTGGTGATGGATGAAGTCAGATTACCGTGGAAGCACTTAAAGCGGTAGAGGCAGACATAGGGCTTCACCTTTGTGGATGTACTCGCGCTTCATCAGGAGAAAGTTGCACTTGGAAACTCTTGCTGGAGGTCTCACAGCAATGTGTCTTCCTACTTTGTGTGTCCCCCCCATGCCCAGTTCAAAGTTGCTGCCCATCATAGCCCGTTTGTAGCTGCTGCCAGTCCCTAGGGCTCCCTGCAGCAGAAGCATCATGAGCCAAGCGCTCCTCTTCTGGGTACATGGGCCAGCCCCTGGTGACTAGCCTGCAGGCTGCACCAAATTGGCCACTGGCCCAAAGCTATCTCCCCACAAAGGTCTCCAGGGATGAGCCCTCAGCAGGCTCACTTCACCACTCCTACATCCTGGCCCATTACAACTCGGGAACATCTGGCTGAGGCTCAAACAGTGCTGCCTTCTTGTCTGTGATTCATAATCTGGCCAGGAGGTGTTTCTCCCGATCTGACTTCCTGGATGTGTTGGGAATGCAAGTCAAACATCTCCTGGCTGTGGCTGGGAGAGCACTTCAATGCTAGAGAATGGAGGGTGTCATGTTGATGATCATGGATGTGAATCAGGGCCTGATGGTAGGTTCCAGGTAATGTGCTCATTGATGAGACACTGAAAGAGGGCAAGGCAAGTGGAGACTCCTGGTCATCCCCTAGGGCTGCCATCTTCTTCAAGGCCTCCTGAACTTGTGCACACCTGGGACTCCTGTCATCTCTGAGTGGAGATGGGGGTCTCAGAGCAGAAGCCCCTTCAGCTGATAGGGTTGCAGACCCTTGCTCTTAGGTCATGTTCTAGCCTCTGCCCCTGCAACAGATGAAGTGAAGAGGAACAGCAATGCCGCTACTCCTCTGGCCCCTATTCCCAGCTGGGAACACTGTGCCTGTGAAGAAAGACATGATCATGGAGAGTTTACCCAGCTAGCAGCTACCTGGGCTTAAGCCTGTAGCTCTACACAAGCCATGTGACCTTAGGCATTGTGTGATTTGGACCTTGTGGCAGTATACCATATTATATACAGGTCCCAGGATGTATTGAGGACATTAAGTGACACATACTTGTATCCCAGGATGTATTGAGGACATTAAGTGACACATACTTGTATTTCTTCTTTCTTTATTTTCTGAAAGAGTTTGTGTAAGAATATTATTTCTTTCTTAAATGTTTAGTAGAATTTATCATTAAAAACTATCAAACCTAAAGTTTTCTTTATGAGAGAGTTTTTAATAACCAATTTATTTTCTTTAAAGTCAGGTTTCTGTTTTTCATGTGCCATTTTGATAAGCAGTGTTTTTTAAGATACAGATCCACTTCATCTAAGTTGTTCATTGATGTTAAGTTTGTCCATAATAGTCTTTTATTGTCCTTTTAACTAACATAGGAACTGTAGTGACATCCTGTTTTATTCCTGTCATTGGTAATTTGTATTTTTCTCACTTTTCTTGATTATTCTTCCTGTGGTTTTATTACTTCTATTAATCTTTTCCAAATCATCCTTATTTTATGATTCATCATATTTTGTATTATGATAAATGTTCTATGTGCACTTGAATGGGTATCTTGTACATGTGACTGAAGTGTTCGAAAAATGTCAATTATATCAAGGTGGTTAATAGTGTTGTTCCTTTCTCTTCTATGTTTTACTGACATTTTTATTTGTTGTTGTTAATTGCCGTTGATTTTTGACTCACAGTGACCCCCATATGACAGAGTAGAACTACCCTGTAGGGTTTTCTAGGCTGCAGTCTTCATAGGAGTAGGTTTCCAGGTGTTTCTCCCATGGAGCTATTCATTAAGTTCCAAAGCCAACTTTTTGGTTAGCAGTGAGCACTTAATCATAGCTCCATAGTTCTAGAAATTGAGAGACTGGTATTAAAATCTTTAATAGTGATTTGAAGTGTATTTCTATCTTGGGTTCTATCAGTTTTTGCTTTATATATTTTGAAGCTGTTACTATATGTATACACATTTAAAATATGTCTTTCTGAAGTGACAGTATGAAATATTTCTGTATTTGAGCTTTTGCCTTTTAATTGTAATGTTTCATCAGTTTACCTTAAATTGTTGTTATGGGGCTATTTAGGTTTATCATTTTTGCTGCTTTTCATTTGTCCCATATATTCCTTTATTCTCTTTCCTGCTTTCTTTTGAGTTAATTGAATAGTTTTTTAATATTTGATTTTAATTATTTTAATTTTTGTTGTTGCTATAGGATTTGAAGTATTCATTCTTAATCTATCACACTCTTAGAGTTAGTATTTTATCATTTTACATGCTCTTTATATGTTTGAGTAGTTTTTATTATGTATCTTAAGCATTTTATCTTCATACTTTGAAATTAAAATTTTTATTAGAAGTTTAGATAAAAGTAATTAGAGTGTTTTAGAAAATAAAAAGGAAAATGCAGAACATTAATTTTACTTCCCAAGTCTGTTTCAAAACTAAGAATCCAAAAGTTTATTTCTTCAGCCTTTCCTCTTTTGAATGTAAAATTTTAAGTAACATTTTAAAAATGTATCTTGCTAATAAGCTTTTGTTTCAGTTAGAAAAGAAATGTAAATTACAGAATGGATACTTGTTTTCTTCATGTAAGGCTTGAAGCTGCAAAAGATGATTACCGGGTTCACTGTGAAGAGCTTGAAAAGCAGCTAATTGAATTTCAACATAGAAATGATGAATTGACGAGTCTTGCTGAAGAAACAAGAGCCCTGAAAGATGAAATAGATGTTCTTAGGTATGACACATCTAAATATAATTGTGTCACTTCTAAGTTATTCTTCATAAATTTGGGTATTCCATGTTTTAATTAAAGATTCTTAGGATATCACTGGTATATCCACTTTGATCAGTTTTGATCCAAACTCTTAGTCTTTGTTTCTTTTATGCTTGCTCCTACTGATTGCAATTTAAAGATAACATTCTATTCTTGGTCAGATATTTTCTTACTAGAACTTATAAACCCAAAATGATACCTTTTTTCTTAGAATTTTATAACTGAGTTACTTGTAAATATATTGTCCTTGACATCCCTGTAGTGATTACTGTATTTTGTGAAAGTGTTGTGTAAGGAAATACGTTCTCACAATCCATATTTTGGCATTTGATAAAATATAGATAACTAAAGGTAAAAATCCTAAAACTTATTTCAGAGAATAATTTTTGAAAATTATGTGAAGTGTTACTCAAGCAATTAGATTGTGCACGTGATTTTCACATTTTCTGTCAATTTTATTAATTAACATTTTTTTGCAGTTTTATTGCCATTTTGAGAGGAAAATCTATAACTATTACTTTGCACCTGCATGTGATTTGAAGTCATTCGGTTTATTTTACTTGGGCTGTTTCATTTTTTATTCCTCCACAATTAGATAAAGTAACTTAAGAGAAGTATTTTTTAAGACAATCAAATTTAAAAGTAGTGTTAACTTCTTAAGTGTATCAAATACCTACAATTAAACTTCACTAAATGATATACACAAGGCAAGGTTGTCCCATAAGCTACAGAGGAGTTCAGAGACATCCAACTGTATTTATAAAAACATTCTTTTTTTTAATACATTGTGCTAATATATAAAATAGTTCAATAATTTAGCATGTCAGATTTGCAGCATTTTTATTTTGGTGTCTTTATTAAAAAAAAAATTGAACATTTAACTGTTTTTTATGCCTCAGCAATTTCCTAAGTTCCTACCACATTTGGAGTTGCTCATTTTCTTTCTCTCTCTTTTTCTTTTTTTGCTATAGCTAATTGATAGTTTTTTTGGAAGACTCATTTTACAGCCGAATACATTTTTATATCTGTTTATTAATTGTTACGTAGTGATGTTTGGTTTTTATTATTATAGAGCTACTTCTGATAAAGCAAGTAAACTAGAGTCAACAGTTGAGATATATCGTCAGAAACTACAAGATCTGAGTGACCTTCGCAAGCAGGTGAAAACTTTACAAGAAACGAACATGATGTATATGCATAATACAGTCAGCTTAGAAGAAGAATTAAAGAAGGCTAATGCAGCACGTACGCAATTAGAAATATACAAAAGGCAGGTAAGAAAATTTTTCAATAGATTAAAAGATCTGCTTTGTTATTCTACTTGATCCTTTAAGAATAATATAGAACTGCTGAAACATTATCTGTAGTCGGCTGTGAACTTAATATTATCACAGATTTCATCTATTTTTAATTTCAATTCAAAGGTTGATAAGTGAGTTTGAATTATACCAGTCTTTTATCTTTTTATTGCCTTCTGGGCTTGTGTATTTTTTTTTTTTTTTTTTACATTTTATTAAAAACATTTACTTATAAGTGTTGTTGCTAACCAGTGGTAAATGTGTAAAAAATGAAGCTGTAACCTAAAAGATTGGTTTGCTGTTTATCAAATTACCTGGCGAAACATTAGAGTAAGAGGCTGATATTTTTTGCCTAAATTATCATTTAAGTATAGGCATACCTCGAAATACTTCAGGTTCGTATCCAGACCACCACAATAAAGCAAATATAGCAATAAAGTGAGTCATGTGAATTGGTTTCCCAGTGCAAATGAAAGTTATGTTTGTATTACACTGTAGCCTGTTAACTGTGTAGTGGCATTATGAAAAAGTTTGAAATACTGTGAGAACTACTGAAATGTGAAACAGAGTCACCGAGTAAGCACATGCTGTTAGAAAAATGGTACCAATAGACTTGCTCAACATAGGGTTGAGATAGACCTTCAACTTGTAAAAAAAAAAAAAAACCACAGAATCTTTAAACCACATTAAAGCAAAGTACAATAAAACAACATGCCTGTTTAAAATCTGTGTTATGCAACTTTCTACAGGTAACTAGATCTTAGTGTTAATATCTTATTTCCAAGTGAATTTTTCTCATTTATACAACTCTGGACAGCTGAATATCTACTACCTGAAATATTACAGCATACTCAAATTATAACGAACCACACTTACGACGGCCTGTTTTTTCTGTATACCTTATAATTAGTTTTGTGTACTACGTACAGTGTTAAAATATATCTGTAAGTTTTTATGTAACGTTTCCAACCCCAAAAGACATGTAGAGATTGGATTTATAAAGATACTTATAATAGATGGCAATGATGATGAAAACAAAACAAAAAAAAGAAATACTTATAATAGATGGCAATGATGATGAAAACAAAACAAAAAAAAGAATTCAGTTTATATCAGAACCAACTTACTACAGTCATCAGAAAAGAACCGCATTGTAAGTTGGGGACTACCAGTATATATTATTATTTTATTGATTTTTACTTTTGTTTCTGACAAAAGGTTCAGGATCTTCACATTAAACTTTCCTCAGAATCCAAAAGGGCAGACACACTAGCATTTGAAATGAAGCGACTTGAAGAAAAACATGAAGCTTTAATTAAGGAAAAAGAGGTAAACAAAAAAATAGTTAAGGAAATGGTCTTTTTTTGTTTTGAACTTTACTGTTCTTTCAGTGGATGTGACATCAATCAGTGCTTCAGTTTTTCCCTAAATTGAATTGTTGGTGTAAAATAAAGTTTTGTGAAAATATATCTCTTCATACAGTTTTGCCAATTTCTTTCACACAGGAAGGTGAAGTCCCAGATCCAAAGTCATATGTCTTGGTGCATGTTTTGCTAACTCAGAGCCTCTCAACTTTTTGAGATCAAAAGCTGTAGATAAAAATTAATAAAAATCTTTATTAAGATATAATTTAGCTACCACAAATTTTCACCCCTTTATATCAATCAAAACCTTTTCATGTATTCACAGAATGTGCAGCCATCACCATAGTAACTTTAGAGCACTGTCATCATTCCACTAAGAAACTCCATAGCTGTTAGCAGTCACTTCCCATGCCTCCCAGCCATAGCAACCATTAGTCTACTTTTATTACTGTGTAGTTTGTTAGGTGCTGTCAAATCAGCTTCAACTCATTACAACCTTATGAATAATAAAATGAAATAATGCCTGGTCCTGCACCATCCTCATGATCCTCACTATGCTAGAACCATTGTTGTAGCCACTGTATCAATTTATCTTGTTGAGGATCTTCCCCTATTTCACTGACCCTCCACTTTACCAAGCATGATGTCCTTCTCCAGGGAATGGTCCTTCTGACAACATGACCAAAGTACGTGAGACAAAGTCTAGCCGCCTTCTAAGACAGATTTGTTCATTCTTTTGGTGCGTGGTATTTTCAGTCTGCTTCACCAACACCACAACCAAAAATCATCAACTCTTCTTCAGTCTTCCTTATTCATTGTCCAGCTTTCACATGCTTATGAGGCAATAGAAAATACCATGGTTAGGGCTAGGTGCACCTTACTCTTCAAAGTGGCATCTTTGTCCTTAGTACTTCAAAGAGATCTTTTGCAGCAGATTTGCCTAGTACAGCATGAAATCTGGTTTCTTTACTGCTGTTTCCGTGACTTTTAGAGACTGTCTGAAGAATAGATTTGACACATTGAACACCAGTGACTGAAACCAGATGAGTTGTGGGATGACATCAAGAGCATCATACATGAAGAAAGCAGAACATCATTAAAAAGACAGGAGAGGAAGAAAAGAACAAAATGGATGTCAGAAGAGACTCTGAAACTTACCCTTGAATGGAGATTAGCTAAAGCAAATGGAAGAAATGACAAGATAAAAGAGCTGAACATAAGATTTCAAAGAACATCTCAAAAAGACAAAATCAGTTATTTAAATGAAATGTGCAAAGACGTGGAGTTAGAAAACCAAAAGGGAAGAACATGCTCGGCATTTCTCAAGCTGAAAGAATTGAAGAAAAATTCAAGCCTCAAGTTGCAATACTGAATGAATCTGTGGGCAAAACACTGAATGAATGATGCAGGAAGCATCAAAAGAAGATGGAAGGAATATACAGCGTCACTGTACAAAAAAGAATTGGTCAATGTTCAGGTATTTCAGGAGGTGTCATATGATAAAGAGCCAATGGTACTGAAGGAAGAAGTCAAAGCTCTACTGAAGGAATTGGCAGGAAACAAGGCTTCAGGAATTGACAGAATTCCCATTGATATGTTTGAACAAACAGATGCCTCACTGGAGTAACTTACTTACCTATGCCAGGTAATTTGGAAGATAGTTATCTGGCCAAATGACTGGAAGAGATCCATATTTGTATCCATTCCAAAGGTGATCCCACAGAATGTGGAAATTAACTAAGAGTATCAGTATCACACACAAGTAAAATTTTACTGAAGATCATTAAAAAATGGAGTACTTCTGATAAGATGGCAGAATAGGCAGACAAGCTCCACAGACCCTCTTCAACAAAGAAAAGAGAAGCCAGTTGACAGAGATACAGAAGATGATCCTGGAGCCCTGACCTTTAAAAGGAAGTATACAGAAGTGGATTAGGCACCAGTTAGAGGAAAAACCTGAATGAAAACAGTGAGTATGGAGATGGTCAGAGCAGTGGACTGTCAACTACTCTGACAGGACTGACAGCCTGAATATTTCCAAGTGGTGTTGGGACCTGAGAATTAACCTCAGGATCAGTCCTGGTTGCCAAGGGCTGCAGGGACAACTGCGCTGGTGGCCTATGACTCGGAAAGGAAACAGCAAGGAGGGAGACAACCTGAGCTATGGACTTTCAGCTGTCCAGAGGGTGCAACCATTTTGATTATTTACACATAGCAGCCATTTTGGATATTTAAAGTGACCAAGGGCACAGTCATTTTGATTGTTTACAAGCAGCAGCCGTTTTGGGTATTTAAAGTGACTTAAGGCACAGCCATTTTGAATGTTTACAAGCATCAGGCATTTTGGATTTTAAAGTGATAGCATTCTCATTCAGATTCCAGGGACCTAAGAATAGGCTCCATTTGCCAAGGACAGCAAGGACATATGGGAGGCAGACAACAGGAGAGGAGACAGGTGGTGAGTGTATAAGTGCTGCCAACTAGCTAATAGAGCAGCACAGCACAATACCCTGCTTATGCAGATAACATACAAACAAAACAAAATGAAAATCATGGGTAAGTCACACCAACATACAATCACTAATTAAATATAAACACAGAAAGATCCCAATGCCTTAGAGACAACAGAGGATCACAGTCCACACAAAGAAGCAAGATAAAGCAAGAGAAAAGGGAACAGGATACAGACCCAAAGCACAACCCTGAGGAAGACACAGCATTGGAACTTCCTGATAAGGAATTCAAATGAATTATATTTAGGTACCTTCAATGAATTGAGAGATCAAGGAAAACACTGACAAAATGGAAGAAAACACAGAGAAAACCCTAGAACAATTTTGAAAGACAATACAAGAACAAAATGACAAAACAAATGAAAAATTAGAAATGATACAAAATCTACAGATAGAAATCCAGAAGATTAATACTAAATTTTCAGAAATAGATAACTTATTGAATGAGCAAAGGAGTAAAATTAGAAAAATTGAAAGAGAAAAATTTCTAACTGAGAATTACATACCCAGCAAAATTTTCCCTCAAATATGATGGTGAAATTAGGACATTTCTAAATAAGCAGAAATTAAGGGACTTTGTTTAAAGCCACACCAACCTTACAAGAAATGCTAAAGGGAGTCCTTTGGACAGATAATCAACAACAGCAAACAACAACTCACCATTAATATACATGATGACATAACCCAGGAACCAAAGTATCCAAAGTAAATAAGACTACATTATTTTAAACAGTGAACCAGAGACATCAATTGACAAATGAAGACAACTTCAAACCAAAAAGGGGGGAAAAATGGGTAGATACCGAACTTCCAAATGGTAGGGAAGTCAAGACAACTACAAGATAGAATGGACTGTTCTAAACTTGGGAAGAAACTATAAATCACAGGGTAACCTCAAAGAAAAATGATAAACCTTCACATCAAAATAGAAGAGGACCAGTATAAATATTTAGCAAATACTAAAACAATAGCAAAGACACATGGACAAATATTCATTATTGTAAAAAGTCAAGGATATATGGAAGGAAAATTTCTTAATTGGTTACCAGGGGTGGGAGGGGAGGGGAGGAAACACTGGAAAAAAAAAAAAAAATTCATTGACCCATGTCATTTTAGTTTCGTGTATTTCACTATACATAAATTATGTTTCAATAAAATGCATTTGGAATTGGAAAAGAAAAAAAAAAAAAATGATTACAGCAGTATATTGACAGGGAACTGCCAGAAATGCAAGCTGGATTCAGAAGAGTTCGTGAAATAAGGGATATCATTGCTGTTGTCAGATGGATCTTTGCTGAAAGCAAATAATACCAGAAATATGTTTATTATTGTTATGGGCCATCGAGTTGTCTCCGATTCATAGTGACCCTGTGCACAGCAAAACGAAAAACTGCCCAGTCCTGTGCCAGCCTCAGAATCCTTGCTATACCTGAGCCATTGCAGCCACTGTGTCTGTCCATCTCGTTGAGGGCCTTCCCCTTCTTCCTTGACCCTCTACTTTACCAGGCATGATATCCTTCTCCAGGGAGTGGTTCCTTCTGACAACATGACCAAAGTACGTGAGATGAAGTCTGGCCATTCTCACTTCCAAGGAGAATTCTGACTGCATTTCTTTGTTAGTCCTTTTAGAAGACCATGGTACTCTTAGCATTCTTGTCCAACACAACTCAAAAGCATCAACTCTTCTTCAGTCATCCTTATTCATTGTCCAGCTCTCAGATGCATAAGAGGCAATTGAAAATACCATGGCTTGGGTTAGGCACACCTTAGTCTTCAAAGAGACATTTTTGCTCTTCATCACTTGAAAGAGATCTTTTTGCAGCAGATTTGCCCAATGGAATACATTGTCTGATGTCTTGACTGC